GGGATTTTCGTGTTTTTTGTCTTGTGAGTCGCAGTGTTTTTGTACGTATTCATCGCGTCTATCTGTCTTTAAGCGCGCATACAGTCGTGAGTTTCTGCTCGATGTCGGCAGAACCACATTTTTAGAGTTAAACTCTGCGCATGCTGAAAAGCTGCGGGATCTCGGTCTGCTCCGGAGGCCCACACCATCACCGACCCCCACTACTGCATCTCGCCCACAGCGGAGGCGCCACAAGCGGCGTGAGAGGAAGCAGAAGAGGGGTAAGTGCGGAGGTATCCGGGCTAGGCTAGCGGCTAACCCACACAAGAGAGCAGCACCAAGTTCCTGGGTGTGCACATCAAACTAAGAAGAGCCAGAGCCCCGGCCCCCATCATGTGCACTGAAGGACAGCTTCATCCATCAGGCTGTCAGGAAGCTGAACTCCCTCCCGACCTTGCCCCCCCTCCCCTCTTTTGCCCCACGCACCACTGAACTCTGACCCTCTGACGGACTCTCCCACTCCGCCCTCCCAAATACACACACACACTGTCACTTTAATCAGTCTAAATAAGCTCTTTTGCACTACAAATCATTATATCTGCACTGTTGTTTACTTCACTGGTTTGCACTCTATCTGCCATGTGCCTTGTGCTGCTTTATATATATATATATTTTTTACATTTTACCTTATTTGTATATTTGTATAGTTGTATTTTATATTTAATCTGTATATCTGTATTTATGTTCTACTGTTAGTGTTAACTGTATGCACCAAGGGTCTGAGAATAACGCAATTTCAATTCTCTGTGTGTATGTGCTGTACATGTGGAAGAATTGACAATAAAGCAGACTTGACTTGACTTGACTATTCCACCAGCCTCGCTCCGTTCCCACGGCTCTCGGCCCCGCCCCATTCGTCACAATGTTTTTATAGTACAATGACCTCAAGATTTCTCAATTCATGACCCCTTTAAGTTCACCGCACTTATTTTCTATAGGGTTCAGATCAGAGGACTAAGATGTCTATGGGAGAACCTTAGTTTTGTGTCCAGTGACCCATTTTTCTTTAAATTTTTTAATTTTAATGTTGTTTTTCTTTGGATCATTGTCCTGCTGGAAGATCCAAACACTGCCCAGTATAAGATTTCTAACAGGGATAGTCAGGTTTTGATTTTTTTTTATCTGTTGCTGTTTGCTAAAATCCATGATGCCATGTACGAACAAGATGTTCAGGACGTCTGGCAGAAAAATAGGCCCACAACATTAAAGATACAGCATTATATTTCATTGTACACATAGTGTACTTTTCTAGCCCTGTGTGTACCAAACCCATCTTGTGTGTTTGCTGCCAGAAAGCATTTATTTACTTTCATCTGACCAAAGAATCCAGTCCAATTAGATGTTCCAGTAATGTCTGACAAATGAATATGCTGGAGTTTCTTTTTGGATGAGAGCAGAGTTTTTTTCTTGAAATCCTCCCAAACAACTTATCGTAATTGTAATGATTCATCAACACGGCTGGGATCCATTTGTAGTTTTATTTGAAACTTAATCAAACAAGCAGAGGTCAAGACATAGATTAGGCAGTATCGTAGGGCAGACAGAATGGTGATCATAGACAGACCTGAGATCGGGGCAGGCAGATATCGTTCAGAAACTGAGACCGTCTTAGGTCAGGGCAGGTGGCAATCCAATGTCGATAGTCCAGTATACAGAGCACAAGTCCAAGGGGCAGGCAGCAAATCAGCAAGAGACAAAAGCAGGCAGAGGTAATAACAGAAGGCAGTCCAATGAAACCGGAATAACGCTCAGAGATGTTCACCAAGGCAAAACAAGACTTCGCAGAGAATCTGGGTGAAAGAGCTCATTAAATAGTCTAAAGTAATGGGGAACAGGTGTGGGAGAATGATCAGTGACAGGTACAGGGCTGATGGGAAATGTAGTGCGGGGAGTAAACTAGTACTCTGGTGATGGAGCCCTCTGGTGGCCCGAAGAGAGAGTAACAGAAGCACTCTCCTCTGGTGGCCAGAAGAGAGAGTAACAGAAGCGCTCTCCGTAACAGTAATGTAGGTGCTGTTTGATTGATTGGTTGATTTATTTATTTGGAGGCTTTCTGACCCCAAGACTCATCTATTTTCTGTAATTCTCCAGCTGTGATCCTAGGAGAGTCTTTGGCCACTCAAACTATCCTCCTCACCTTACTTTAAGAGAATATAGACACGCATCATCTTCCAGGCAGATTTGTAACATTTCCTGTTGATTGGGACTTCTTAATTATTGTGCTGATGGTGGAAATGGGAATTTTCAGTGCTTTAGATATTTTCTTATAGCCACTTTCTATTTTGTGAAGCTCGACAATCATTTGCTGCAGATCATAACTTTATTCTTTGGATTTACTCCTTGTGATTGATGATTAAGGGAATTTGGCCTTTGGGTTCCCTCATATTTATAGTCCTGTGAAACAGGAAGTCATGGCTCGACAATTTCATGTTCATAGTCACCCTGGCGTGCTACAATTTTTTTTAAAATTAAAGATCAAAAGGATAAACAATACAGATTTATTTTCACAGCCTTCTTTGATAGAGGGGAGAGCCTTGGGAACGGAGCGAGGCCGGTTGAGTGAATGATAATGAGCGACACCTGCGCCACTCACCGGTCTCGTGTCCCACGGAGGAGCTCCGGAAGGATAAAAGGAGGGGTGACGACAGTGCAAGACAAGAGAGGACCAGGCCTGGACTTTATGTTGTTGTTTTGGTTCTGTTTGTGCGTGGCTGTCGTCCGTGAGGGGCTGTTTCGCTGTTTTCCGTTTTGTGTTTATTTTGTTATTAAATTGTTTAAATGTTCGCCGGTTCCCGCCTCCTTCTTCCCAATCTACGAACTGTGTTACATTGGTGACGAAACCCTGGGGAGGAAGGAGGGACACTGGTTACTTGCACAGCTGCCAGAGATCCCTCGCCTCTGTGGTGAATCTGAGGTGCCATCGAGCATGGCGGAGGAGTCTGCCACCATGGACGCTCGAGGCGGTGGACTGGAGTGAGTTGCCGGGGGGGCTGACGAACTTGCTGCTGGCCGCCTGGGTTGTGGAGGGACGGATTCCGTCAGTGAGGGAGCGGAGGAGTCGCCGCCGTTCGCTTGAGGCCGGAGCCTGCTGCCGTCTGCCATGATGGGTAGGAGCAGGGAACGGGGGACTCCAGCCGGCTGCCCGAACCCGGAGGAGCCGTCGCCATCCAACGGGCGGCGGAGGAGTGTCGGGCCAGCTACCCACCGAGGGCTATCCAGCGCCGATGCCAGGCATCACGGAGGAGTTTACCCAGCTGGTGGAGGGCCGAGTGGCATTGTGTCTGGGAACCGGAACAGGATTTTTTCTTTTCTCCTCTCTTCCCTCTCTCATCTCTGTATCTCCTCATCCTTCCATCTCCTTTTCTCTCGTCTTCGTCTGTCCATACCCCCAGGTGCTGTGGCCGCCGTGACGTGGCCCCTGGGGAGGAGTAGAGTGCAGTCTCGTGAGTATTCCCCAGCCTGCGAGGGGCGATGGGGGTATGTGACGAGTGGGGCGGGGCTGAGAGCCGTGGGAATGGAGCGAGGCCGGTGGAGTGAATGATAATGAGCGACACCTGCGCCCCTCACCGGTCTCGAGTCCCACGGAGGAGCTCCGGAAGGATAAAAGGAGGTGT